TAATCCACTCCAAAAAATTTTTCTTATTTTCAACAAAAATTTTTTGATAAAATTCCCCCCCTTTTCTCATTTGGGTTCTTTTTTACATTGCTTCAAACCCTCTCTTAACCCTCTTCTTTTTTTTCCATATACTCTTTCCCTTGCTTTACTTCTACTTTGTTAAAAATTTTTAATATGCTAATTTTTTTTTCCCTTTCTAATCTCTTTAAATCCTTATTCCCCCAATCGGGTCCCCCTTCCCCCCCTGCCCCCCAAAATTCCCGAAAAAAAATAAATTTGCTGAAAACAAATAACAAATACATTTTTAAAACCCCAAAACCCCAAAACCTTTCCCAACCCCCTTGCCTATTCTCCAATAGCCCATTAAACCCCCCAAAAAGCTGTTTATATTTACCCCAACTGCTTTCCCCCTTTTAGTTTATAAAAAACCCTTTACCTCTCCCCTTCCCCGATGTTCTTTCTCCTTGTATCCCCTCTACCCCTTTTTCTCCGTGTAGCTAAAAAAAACAAAAAAGTGAATTTTGAATATATCTGTGGCCCCTCTATAAACATGTAAACCTGAAGTCTACTCAAAAGTCTTTTATCTACCAATACATAATCCAAAAAAAAACTAAAGTCATTTCCCCCTACCCTCATATCTTTTTTAAAATTTTTTTTCCTCTTTTTCTTTAAAAAAGGAAAACCTATAAAAAAACCCCTTTCATAACAAAATTCAATCAAAGGGTCCCATTATCTTTTTCCCTGGCCCCAAAACTTACCTACCCCAACCCTTTAAAAGTTTTTAAAATTTAGCATTTAGGTCCCCTACCCAAATTACTCTCCCCCAATTGGTTTAAAGGGCCCAAAACATTTACTTTAAAATTTTCCCCAAAAACCCCTCTCTCCCCCTCTGCATCCTCTCTTTCTCCAAGGGGAAAACAAAGCTTTTTTGACCCAATTCCCCGCATCCAACCTTTTTTTTAAACCCCAAAAATTCTTTAAATAATGGAAAAACATTTTAAACCGTTCCCCGTTTTTAATTAAAAAAGTTTAGTAAATACATAAAAAAATAACAAATTTTTTTTTAAACCCTTTTTTGAAAAATTGATGATGGATCTGGAAGTTGGGAGGAGAGGAGGGGGTTTTGGGGTTTGTGTTTGGAAGGAGGGAAACCCCCCCTGGGACTTCAGAAAAAAGCCCTTTCGGGGTTACTTCCCTTCTTTGTCTTTTAATTCCCTAGGACCAAACTTTTGGGGTCATGGACCCCCCCCTTTATCAAAAAAACTGTCCGTCCCCCTGTTTTTTGGTGCCTCTTTAAAAATTTCCCCAAAATGGGAAATGGGTTTTGTCACCCGAACTTTTTGAAAGATGGTTGTTTCCGCTTTCTCAGGGGTTAAATTCTGCAAAAACGTTTTGGAACATTTTTTTTTTATTCCATTGGCACAAATCACCCTTTTCTTTGAAGAAGGCACCTCATCCACTCCCCGTTCCCCCTCCCCTGAAGAAGTTTCTCAGCTGCAGAAGAAGCTCTTTCAGCTCTTCAGTGGTGTCTTTCCCCGTGGCCCCCCAACTCTTCCCCATCCCCACCCCAACTCAAACCCCTTGGGGGGGGGGGGGGGCCCAAAAAAAAAAAAAGTCCAAACCCCGACAGAAAAGGGGGAGCCTCAAGCCCCTTTAAAACCCCTTTTTGGCCAATTTTGGCCCAATTGGGCTCCAAAACAGAGTTTAAAGTCCCCGGAAGGTCACTCCCTCCCCAAAACCCTTTCCTATAAAGGGTTTTGGAGCTGGAATGTTTAAGTTTAATTTCCCCAAACTTTTAGGGGCAATTGTGTCTGTGGGCACTTTTAAAAACACATTTCAAAAACTGCTTTTGGTAGAGTTTTTTTAAGTTTGAAATGCCTTTCTGGTCCCTTTGGTGGAGGAGAGGGTGGTGTTAGGAGGGAAAAAATTCACTTTTTTTAAAAAATTTAATTTCCCTTTGAAAAGAGGTCTAATAAGTTTTGGGGGTTTAGCAAGGGGCATTGTCCCCTTAAAAGGAGGCCCCTTGAGTGGCAAATTTTTTTTTCCTGGAGGGATTTTTTCACACTGGGGCCAAACACCCTTTATAGGCCCACTCTTTGAAATTTTTTCTTGTGACCCATCCTTATAAATTTTTTCCACAAGACACATTAAATTGTTCTTAAAGACTTGTTTTTTCCCTTAAAAACACTGGGGGTTTTTGAATGATACACAAGTAAAGGCTTTACTTTAAAATCACCCCTAGCATTAAACACAGAACGAAAGAGTAAAGCCCCGTTTTCATAGGGTTGTGGGCCTGGGAGTGGGTTTTCCTCCTGTTGATGAAGGTCCTTTTTTGGGATTTTTTTTCCCAAAAAAAAGGCCGTTTTGTCACAATTAAACACTTGTTCGGTTTGAAATTTTTTTTACTGTTAAAATTTTCCCCTTAAAAACCCCGTACAAACTTCTCAGCAGCCCGTTTGTCTGAACGGCTGCCTCACCTGTCTTACAACTTTTTTGAAAGCCACTACGTTTTAAAACGGGCAAAAAACCGCCCTTTTTGGCCCAAATTCAAATATTTAGCCCTGGTTCCCGGGGTTTTCTGTACCAAAATCACTGCAGCTTTCCCTTTTCCTTTTTTGCAAATAATCGTTTTGAAAACACAAACACCGCAAACTCTTTAACCTTTAAACCCACCAGCAAAAAATTCTCAAACCCCTTTTAACTATTTGGGTCTTTTTTTGGTTAGCATAAAAGGGAAATTTCACAGTTACTTTTTGCTGTTTATACTGTGCTTATGGGATTCTAAAAAAAAATTGCAAAGGTTTTGTGGATGAGTTTTTAGAATGTGTGTAAAGGTAGAAAAATTTTAAAAGGGGAAAAAAGAAAGAGTAAGGTGAGAAGTATCAAATGTTTAAAAATAAAGAAAAATTGGATATCAAATTTTGGGGGGGGGAGTATGGAAGAAGGAAAAGTTTTCGATACTTTGGGGGGTTGACGTTCGGCGGATGGATTTAAAGAAGGATGGGGGTTAATCATAGAATTGATTAGGGAAAAAAAGGGGAGTGGGGTTGAGGTTAAGTGGATCAAAAAACGTTATTCTATGGAGGAAAAAGGGAATGTATAAAATTTAGTATTCCAAACACTCTTTTTTGGATGTGAAAATTGGGTGGTAAATGCAGGGAGCGAAAGGGACGGTTGGAGGCAGTGGGGATGTTTCCCGTCCCAAGGGCCCAAAGTTTTTGGGGTAAATATTATGGGAGAAAAAATTTGGAGTGTGGAAATTAAGAAAGGTGGGGGATTTTAAAAAAAAGCAATTTGTCAGAGGGAAAGAGGGGTTGTTGAGGTGGTTTTTGGTAAATTTTGAGAGAATGGATTTAAAATAGAAAAGATAAAGGAAAAAACCCTATAAATCTATAGGGGAAGGAAAGAGGGGTAGGGGTCGTCCTCAAAAGGGTTGGAAAGAGGGGGTAAAGGAGGTTTTTGGGCGAGGGGCTTGGACTTCCAGCAAGCGTGCATGAGCGTGTTAGATAGGAGTGAATGGAGACGAATGATACTTGGGACCTGACAATCTGTTGGAGTGTGAGCAGGGTAATATTTAGTGAAGGGATTCAGGGAAACCGGTTATTTTCATATAGTCGGACTTGAGTCCTGGAAATGGGAAGTACAATGCCTGCACTTTAAAGGAGGGGTTTGGGATATTGGCAGTTTGGAGGGATATGTTGTGTATCTTTATACGTATATGCTTCTAAACTGTTGTATTCTGAGCACCTCTGCAAAAGCAGTGATAATGTGTGAGTGTGGTGAAAGTGTTGAATGATGATGAAAGTATTTTCTTTTTGGGGATTTTCTTTCTTTTTTGGGTCACCCTGCCTCGGTGGGAAACGACCGACTTGTTGAAAAAAAAAAAAAATTAAAACTTTTCGCAACATCAGCTTCCTTGATTTGTTCTTTCTTTGACAGGATAGAACCGATGGTCGACTTGTTTTTCCCATACATCCTGGCAAGCTCAACAAGTCTCACACCACTCTCATACTTCTGTATTATTTCCTTCTTCACATCTATGGTGTTTCTCACTTTCTTTACCACAGGGGTACCACTAGCAAGTTTCTTTGGGCCCATGGCAGCTTATTTCACAGTCCCACAAGCCCTAAACACAACGAAATAATCGTAAAATGTGTGAATGAGAGCACAGGTTAGTGTTCACTCATGCATGAATAAAGCTAGACTGGCTCATGGTGCCTGCCCGGGGACGCGGACAGAGCGGGCCCGCGGACATGTTCCGTTCCCGGCGGTCCGAAAATAGGGGCGCGTTCGATAATAGGGACACAGTTTGTCCGAAAAAATGGTCCTATTTTCGAAATGTTCTATATGTGATACGTTCGATTTTTTAGGTTTCACTGTAATTGTTTTACATGATGGTAGGATTGCTGGTGTCTTATTTGTCTTATAAACATGCGGGATAACAGGTATATCTTGCTACTTCTACATACACTTCGGTCACACTACACATGCATGTAGACACATATATATATACACACCCATTTGGATTTTCTTATATTTTTTTAATAGTTCTTGTTTATTTCCTCTTATCTCCATGGGGAAGTGGAACAGAATTCTTCCTCTGTAAACCATGCATGTCGTAAGAGGCGACCAATATGCCGGGAGCAAAGGGCTAGTAACCCTTTCTCCTGTGTACATTACTAAAGTTAAAAAGAGGGACTTTCAATTTTCTTTGTAAGTTGCCCTGCCTCAGTGGGATACAGCCATTTCGTTGAAAAAATATAAAGCAACAGTACAAATTATAATAATAATTATATAATAAAAATAATCACATATATTAATAATTATACTAAAGCAATAACTAAAAATTATAATTATAATAAAAATAATATTTTATTGATAATTATATTAAATAAAAATTATAATGAAAAATAATAATTATACCAGAGCAGTAATAATAATCATTAATAATTATACCAAAGCAATAACAAAATTATAATAAATAATAATAATAATTGCAGATATAAATCACTGGAGGAGAGTAAGAAAGAAGAAACAGAACACTTAGAGTACCGGATCAGTACTCTAGAGCAGCGGTACTCTCACACTGCACTCCAGGAGTCTGACAAGGTGCAGGTACTCATGAAGGAGGTGAGTACATACTGAGACTCTCCTTAGTGGAGTCTGTACTCTTCTCAATGCTGTAGATATGTATATTCTGGTTAGTGTGTGTATGTACTCTAGTGCTGTGTGTGTACTCTGGTGAGTCAGTGGAGTACATGTACTCTTGTCAGTGGAGTATATATACTCTAGTCACTGGTGTGTATGTACTCTGGTCAGTGGAGTTTATGTACTCCAGAACTGTAACATCCTCACCCATCCTTAAGAGTACAGGCACTGTAGTTCCCACCTCCGGTGCTGCAACATCCTCGCCCATCCTTCAGAGTACAGGTCCTGTACAGTAGGGCCCCACTTATACGGCAGGTTAGGTTCCAGGTTACTGCCGCAAAGCAGACATCACCGGAAAGCAGAACGCCATTTTTTCCACTTGTAAATGCATATAAATGCCATATAACAAGTTTATACTAACATATATTAAGTTAGCAATAAAACTAGGCATTAAAAAACAATAAAGAGTAAATTACACAAATACACGTCAAAATATCTGTAGTCTTAATGTAGGGCAAAAGGTGAGTATTATTGTAAGAAGTCAGGCATGGGTAGGTATGGTAGCCCTCCTGGTCACCCCATCCACACATAATACATATACAGTAGTACCTCGGGATACAAATTTATTTCGTTCCAGAAGGCTGTTCAAGTGCCAATGCCGAACAAATTTGTTCCCATAAGGAATAATGTAAATTAGATTAATCCATTTCAGACCGCCAAAAATACGCTTACAAAAGCACTTACATAAATACACTTACATAATTGTTCGAATTTTGAGCTGTTCGTATCCCGAGGTACCACTGTACTACTATGCTTAAAGCTCCCTTGAGTGATAAAATGCATATACAGTACACTCATTACTTACCTTAAAATATTTGTAGTCTTAATGGTCTTAATGTAGGGTGAAAGGTGAGAAGTATTTATTTTTAAAAAGTCAGGTGTGGGCAGGGTGGCCAGGAGGGCCACCCCGCCCACACAGAGTATGTATACTATGTAACCAAATGGATGAAGCGTCTGGTTATGGTTCATACATGTTCATACAAACACCTTACATTGTGTACAAGTTGTCTCCACAGTGGTACAGTAGAATAAATAAAGACCAGCACTTTCATTCTCATATAACATAATTTTTAGAAAGAATGAGGCTCTGACAAGTTAGTACAGAATAAATAAACAACAACACTCCCATTCTCATGCAGCAGATCATTTTTAGAGTGAATGATGACGTTATTATTAATATTATTATAGTAAGTAAAGTATAGTAAAGTTTATTTCTTTGTAAAGGTTACAGTGTGTAATTACAATTTTGATTTGCTAAGTACAAAGACAGCCATTATCATGCCGAAGCATTTTGGGCAGACTAATCCTAATGCATAGTAACTAATTAAAACTAGATAAGATAATAGTACATAGGAACTATACCTTAAAACTAGACAAGAAGTAGTGGTAAACTGTTTTACAATCTTAAACTTAATACAAATGTGAGGTAGTAAGGTGAAGTAGGGTTCGGTAAAATAATCTTGAAATTGCACACAAAATCTACCTTACAAGTAATTCAGTTCAATTCAATTCAATTCAAGTTTATTCTCTAGAAGGGTTACAATGTGGGGTTTACAGGTTTTGGGTATTGTGTGGTTTACATGTTATAAAATACTAATTACAGAGGGGGCCACTAGGACACCTAGCATGGCTAGGCATTTCGAGCAGACTTAGATTAATTCTTAACATTAAATCCTTACAGATTATGGTATTAAGGCTAAGTTACTACATCATAATTTGTGAGTTTAGCAATGTGAATGCTTTTGTTTTGGCACAATACAAGGTGTCTGTATTGGAGTATCATAGGCAAACTTATGACTAGTTAGGATTTATTATTTTAAGATTAAGATTAGTATTTCTGGGTTTATAGTCAGTGGGTGAGTGAGTGTAATTGTGAACCACCAGGTGGTTATCATGTAGTTAGTTGTCGGGGGGGGGATCAGGGAGATAAGATGTATTCTAACTGTAGTTCTGAGTTCTGAAAGTGATGAATGTGTCTGCAGTTCTAGAGTTTTCAGGTAGGGTGTTCCAGATTTTAGGTCCTTTGAAATACATTGAATTTTTGTAAAGGTTTAGTCGAACACAGGGAATGTCATAGAGATGTTTGTATCTGGTGTTATGACTGTGGATCCTGTCACAATTATCAAGAAAGCGTTTTAGGCCAAGGTTAATATTGGAATTTAAGGTCCTGTAGATATAGATTGCACAGTAGTAAGTGTGGATGTTCTGAACAGGGAGTAAGTTTAGATCTATGAAGAGTGGGGGGGTGTGTTGCCAGGGATGGGATTTAGTGATTATTCTTACTGCGACTTTTTGTTGGGTTATTATTGGCTTTAGGTGTGTTGCTGCAGTTGAACCCCAAGCACAGATAGCATAGGTGAGGTATGGATGTATAGTGTGAAAAGGGCAGTTTGTGGTACATAGTATCGTATCTTGGAGAGGATCCCCACCGTTTTGGATACTTTTTTTGTTATGTGTTGGATATGGGTGCTGAAATTTAGGTTGTTGTCGAGGTATAGGCCAAGGAATTTGCCCTCATTATGTCTGGCAATTAGAGCGTTGTCGATCTTAATGTTAAGTTGCGCAACACCTGCTCTGCTACCAAACATAATATAGTAGGTTTTGCCAGTGTTAAGTGTAAGTTTATTGGCTGTCATCCAAGTCGATATTTTGAGCAGCTCCTCGTTAACAATGGTGTTGAAGGTGGCAAGATTAGGGTGGGAGATGACGTAAGTCGTGTCGTCAGCAAAGAGAATAGGTTTCAGGTGTTGGGATATGTTTGGAAGATCACTGATGTAAATGAGGGAGAGCAGGGGTCCAAGGACACTTCCCTGCGGAACTCCAGTATCAAGTGGCCGTATTGATGAGGCTGTGTCTTTAATGGTGACATACTGATACCTATTAGAAAGGTAGGATTTAAAATATGCAAGCGTGTGGCCTCTTATACCATAGTGGTCAAGTTTGTGGAGTAGGATGCCATGGTCTACTGTGTCAAACACTTTTCTTAGGTCAAAAATTCCTAGTGGATATTCCTTATTTTCCAGTGCTGTGTAAAGCAGGTCTAGCATTTTTATAATTGCATAGGTGGTAATATTTTATGGATTGGCAGAATTAAAAGCCTAGAGGTCACATAATAAAACTAATTAGCAGATGTTTTGGTTGAGTTGGTTAACCCTTTCAGGGTCGACAGGCCCTCTCCCAGTTTTGTTCTCAGGGTCGACAAGTTTTCAAAAAAAAAATTGTTTTCTTCTTATGAAAAGATAGAGAATCTTTTCCAGATCATAATGACACCAAAAGTATGAAATTTGATGGGAAACTTACAGAATTATGCGGTCTCAGTGATGTTTATGCATCAGCGATTTTGCCTATTTTGAGACCTATTTTCAGCCAATTCCAGTGTACTGGTCGACAAAAATCACAAGTATTTTGCTAGAACTCCATTTTTTCTATCGAATGAGTACAAGAAACCACCCATTTACCGATTTCAACTATCCAATAAAGTGGTCAGAATTTAGCAATTTTGCCAATTTCACACAAATTTCAAAAGATGCCAATTTCCAAAGAGGATCCAGAATAAACAAGAAAGATATTCCTGGCACTAAAATAACATTTCCTCTGTTCATTAGTCACATCCCCACGCCCCTCTTACATTCTTTTGCTTTCTACTTTGAATTTTTATTCTCACAAAAAATATTAGATTTACTATTATGCAGACTACTGCATTAGTGTAGAAATGGTATTAATAATATCAGCGCACTTGTGAAAGAATATTAGACTCACCAGTTGACGTGTATTGGACGCTTGACATGATTTGTTTACTTTTGAACTTTGGCAAAAATCGAAGATTTCTGCTACTTTGAGCTCAATTTCAAGGTACTTTTCATTGTAAAACCAATCAAACTCGTCTCAATTTCTGTAATATGTCTTCCATTCTATAAAATGAGACCAGGAAAACTAGAATACAACAATAAATACCATACAAAAATACAGTGCAAAGTCGCTGTTTTAAACTAAAGACACTGTCAAAGTTTTTTTTTTCTCATTACGCACTGTGTGCTGCAGGATTTTTTTTATACTGCACACACTGACCACATAGACCCATTCTTTCATATGTAGACCTACCAGCTTTCACTAGATTTGAGGGCGCTAGAGTTTAGGCATACTAGTACGTCAAAAACCCTGGTGCGTATTACGCCGTACTAGTATGTCGGAAACCCTGAAAGGGTTAATATTGAGAGAGAAGATGATTTTATGGATTGGCAGAATTAAAAGCCTAGAGATCACCATTAATAAAACTAGTTAGCAGATGTTTTGGTTGATTTGGTTACATGATGGTAGGATTACTGTCTCATAAACACGCTGGATAACTTCTACTTACACTTAGGTCACACTACACATACATGTACAAGCATATGTATACACACCCCTCTGGGTTTTCTTCTATTTTCTTACTAGCTCTTGTTCTTGTTTATTTCCTCTTATCTCCATGGGGAAGTGGAACAGAATTCTTCCTCCGTAAGCTATGCGTGTTGTAAGAGGCGACTAAAATGCCAGGAGCAAGGGGCTAGTAACCCCTTCTCCTGTATATATTACTAAATGTGAAAGGAGAAACTTTTGTTTTTCCTTTTTGGGCCACCCCGCCTCGGTGGGATACGGCTGGTGTGTTGAAAGAAGAAGAAGAATATATTTTATACATTTTATATATTTATATATATATATAAAAATATATTATATATATATATATATATATATATATATATATATATTTATATATATATATATATATATATGCATGTGCTTGCGTGTGTAGTGTGACCTAAGTGTAAGTAGAAGTTATCCAGCGTGTTTATGAGAGGGGCCACAGATATATCAGATCACTTTCTAGTTGTAGTACACTGAGAGTAAAAGGTAGATGGGATACAAGGAGAATAGAAGCATCAGGG